TATATATATATATATCAGGCTTATCCGTGATTTAACCCTAGAAGTATATTCCTTCTGATGGAATGAATCCTCTTATCTCACCGACTGTTTAGCACTGACGTAGTCTCTGAGCGTTCAGGATACATGCGAGTCTTTGTATATATGTTCATGTTGGGTTGGCGCAAACGTCCGGGTTTAAGATGACTACGGAACACAATACGTTTACCACATACATACATATATATATATGACATCTTCTACCTACACCTCTTTAGACGGCAGGAGTTGAAGGAACTCGTGGCCCTACATGGCATAGGCCATCGCCCGAAAGGTGCACACGGGTCCAATTTGGACGGAGAGAGGACACCCCTACTGGGCACGGACACACCCGAAATTCGGGAAGGTGGCAGTGGGAATATGTCGGATGAAGAGGACGAGCCATTGACTTTCGACGAGGTATATTTAACGAAAAGATACTTAAACTATATATATGTATTCTGATTTGAACTACATATGTGCATTTGATCTCCGTATGTGTATCTGTTCTACATCATTGTACTCATGAACGAGAGTGTACAGACGCATCCATGCACAAGCGTATATTACAATATATAACAGGATAGCACATCACACAGCAATATTGTGCCAATATGAGTGACATGTATTGATATAATTATTTTTGTGTTTTGTGAAATTGATTTATGTATTTTTGGATATATATGCATGTGTTTGCACTTAATGGTACTCTCAATGGATGTGACGTCATTCACATTTATGTATATATTTATAATATATATATATATATATATATATATATTATTCTTCATTACCTTCACACACACACACACACGTGTCCATCAGACACACCTATTCATAAATACATACAAATACACATACCTACATACTTACCATGACCCCCCAATATATCATTTTGAACAGGTGACCATCATCAGAGCTGCTATTGAGATGACATCCAAGACTGTTGGGCACGCCATGACACCACTGGAAGCCGTATTAGTTGTGAATCTCAACAAGATCATCACATACGCATGGGTTTCCCAGGTAGGTACCTTTGCACAAGGACGTGGTAAATAATGTGTGTGTTGATATCGGTGTAATTATAGTGGTCTATTTATAGTGGTATATATATATATATATATATATATATTGATATCACTTCACTTGCAGTCACCTCTCTCACTACTAGTTACATCACTTCATATGTAGGTACTCTACTTGGCGTGATAGAGCCCATTCACATATCTATCACCTCATTCTCACAACGAGTTACATCACCTCATATGTAGGTACTTGAGGCAGGCCATTCGCGCATACCGATATACGAGGGAGACTGGAATAACATCATCGGGTTCATGATGGTCCGCAATCTGGTGCTGTGTGATGTGCGGAACGGCATCTCTGTACGGTATGGTTTAGACTATCACCGCAAGGTTTAAGTTTTAATTTGGAACGTTTTCGATTGTAAGGGCGCAATTTTGATTTCCGTTCCAAATGTCCATATGTGTGATATATTTACACGGGTGTTCTGTGCTTCGGGTCTGTATTTGCCTGCATGTATTATTGGAATTGATCCTTTTTCAATCTTTTGAGATTCGAGGTCTTCAGATTCTATGCATGGGTCTATTCAGTGTGTTTTTATATATATATATATATGCACACACATACTCACACAAAGATATATATA